ACCAGCTAGACTAGCACTAAACTAGCATAAACTAGCCAGGAAATCCATGGCAGTCAGCTTCAAGCTGATTGCACCTAACTTCATTACACTCCATCAAATGTTCGTACACCCACACGAGGATAAACACACATACCCTTCCAACCTGACAAGGTGGTAAGAACGCCCGTTCATGAGACAACCACGGCTGTGTGAAGCCAATACAGTTTTCCTCTGGGCTATATTTAGCCAGAAGTGCGTCAGGAACACCTCCCTATCATGAAAGTAGAAGGAGAAACAAGCACTATTCACACAAACCCTCAGTGTATCTAGAAGGAGAGCAGGGAAAGTCTCCTTGAGAGGATGTCTTGGGAGATTCGGCCCCGACTGCATGCACAGCTGGCATAGAGCTGTGTGTGTGCGTGTGACTGTGTGTGTGTGTATTGTGGATGAGGGGAGGGTGGGACATGCAAAGGCAAAGTACAACGATTCCTGTAGGCAACAAGCTGGAGCGAAGCAGGGTGCTAATGACCACAACCCACTGACAGATCTCTTGCACGCGCGCACACACACACACACACACACACACACGTATCGCTGTCATTAGTGCCGTCTGAAGTCATGCAGACTTGAAGACTGTAGAGATATAGTGAGATGCATGATGCAAAAAGCCATAAAATCTGAAAATAAACGCTTTGTTACCAAACCTCTGTTTGATGTTAGACAACAAGTTTAAAATGGTTATTAAAACAGACAGTTCTAACTCTTAATTATGGATGAGTCACGTTTGATGCCACTAAAAATACTGACACGCACCTGTGATGCACATTCTACAATAATGCGTCAAGTTACTATGTTACTTAACAAATGTAAACGACCTACAGTTAGACTAGTGTTATTTGGCCAAATAATTGTTTTTCTTATGATTAATATTAATTAACTAAACATATTTTCATTAATAATTTTAATACACATATCCATAATAAAAAAAACATTTATGACATTAATAATATTAATAATTATTGCAATTATTATTAAATATAATTATAATTATTGTTATTATATATAATTATTTATTATAAATAAATAAATGTGCAATAATAATATGCACACCTTTTTTTATTAAAATCTTGATATACACACTTCTGTGATTGCACATTAACTGCATAACCTTAAAGGGGTCATATGATGCGATTTCAATTTTTCCTTTCTCTTTGGAGTGTTACAAGCTCTTGGTGCATAAAGCAGATCTGTAAAGCTGCAAAGACTAAAGGCTCAAATCCAAAGAGATATTCTTTATAAAAGTTAAGAGTCAACCACGCTTACCTAAAACGGCTTGTTCTAACACGCCCCCACATGTCTATGTCACGATGTGGGAAGAT